ATGATCGGCGCCCAATTGGGTTCAATCGGTAGGGGCTCGGAGGGCTCGGAGTTTGGAGAGGAGTCCGGCTCCTTGGAGTCACGGGCTTCGTAGAGAATAGGGCTCGTGTTCGGCTCGATCGCCATAGAGATTGCAGCTCCCGAGGCGGTGTCCAACCACCCATCCTCGATTGGCGTAGTTGGCTCCTAATTAAGGGTCGGAGCTGATGCGGGTGCGGCCTCCAGGGCACTGTTCGGCGGCAGAGCTAGATCATGCCCATCGTGACAGTGCGGCGCGCTCGGCTGCGGCTCGAACCCGTTGAAGATCAAGTCTCCGCGGAGGTCGGCCGTGTAGTTCAAACTTCCAAATCTGACCTGATGGCCAGGGGCGTAGCTTTCGATCTGCTCCAGATGGCCAAGTGAATTGGCCTGCAGTGCAAAGCCGCAAAATACGAAGATCTGTCCGGGGAGAAAAGTCTCACCCTGGATCGCATCGGCGTTGATGATCGGAGGAGCCATCAGGCCTAAAAGTGACGACACAGAGGAACTCTCAATGAAAGCACCAATGTCGGTGTCAAAACCGGCGGATCTCGGGTAGGGGGTCCCGAACTGTGCATCTAGGCGGATGGTAACAGGAGGCAGGGGACACAATGTTTTACCCAGGTTCGGGCCCTCTTGATGGAGGTAAAACCCTACGTCCTGCTTGATTAATATTGATGATATGGGTAGTACAAGAGTAGATCTACCACGAGATTAGAGAGGCTAAACCCTAGAAGCTAGCCTATGGTATGATTGTATGTTCGTCCTACGGACTAAAACCCTCCGGTTTATATAGACACCGGAGAGGGCTAGGGTTACACAGAGTCAGTTACAATATTAGGAGATCTACATATCCGTATCGCCAAGCTTGCCTTCCACGCCAAGAAAAGTCCCTTCCGGACACGGGACGAAGTCTTCAATCTTGTATCTTCATAGTCTAGGAGTCCGGCCGAAGGTATAGTCCGGCTATCCGGACACCCCCTAATCCAGGACTCCCTCAATCATCCTACCAGAGGACATTGTCGCCTACCGGAACGCATAGGCATCGACAGAGGAGGAGCCCCAGGAGTGGGAAGCTCAAGTGGTCACCACCTCAGCACTTTCACATGGGACCAGATTGCCACTACAGATGGTGATTACCAAGCTAGGAAAAAGCCTACTTGGGGGAGTACGTATTTCCCACCGACATTAAATTCATGTTCACACACTTCATTCCAGTTGCCGGTGTTCATCCTCTTTCATTGTATAATCCATGTTAGATTTATTTTCTCGCTTTCTTCTTTTTGTGTGTTTGAAAAACTTTGAGAAAATCCAAAAATATTTCTTGCTTCTTTTTTAGTTTTGCTCAGACTCAACCGGTGCCTCCTCGTCGGTTTCTGCATCGAATTCCTTCTCCTCTCCCTAGTCGCATGCGGCGGCGATGCACTTGAAGATGGATGCCATGCCTACAAGTGCCTTATGATGGTCGGAGACTACCATCATGAGAGTCTCTACCACCACTCTTCATGACTCCATTTTCATAATGAAAATGAGGACTGTGTGGCCCCTCTGATGTAGAAAATTACCTCCAGGTATCTAAGAGCACATGCGTGGAGGTCATGGTTTGATTTGCTACTGATGTTGTCAAGGTGTTTGGACTGGAGCACATGAGAGAACCAATTGTCGAAGACATAACAAAACTCATGGTACTTGGATAATTAAAAGGATTTCCAAGTATGCTTGAATCTCTGTATTGCATCGGTGAAAAAGGAAGAACTACCGATATGCTCAACAAGGACTATACCAGGCCCATCATAAAACACCCATTGTCATTCTTGAAGCAGTTGCATCACAAGACATGTGGATTAGGCACTCTTTCTTTGGCATGTTAGGGTGTCACAATCGCATCAATGTGTTGTAGCAGTTTTCCATTGTTTGCAAGGTTGTGTGCGGGTCAAGCTCATGTGTGCAACTACACCATCAATGGGCACGACTACAACATGGGTTATTATACCATCAATGTGTTATGAAGGATGTGGAGAGAGCATTTGGAGTGCTCTAATACGTCTCCAACGTATCTATAATTTTTTATTGTTTCATGCTATTATATTATCTGTTTTGGATGTTTTATATGCATTAATATGATATTTTATATTATTTTTGGGACTAACTTATTAACCCAGAGCCCAGTGCCAGTTTCTGTTTTTCCTTGTTTTTGAGCTTCGCAGAAAAGGAATATCAAATGGAGTCCAAACGGAATAAAACTTTCGTGATGATTTTTCTTGGACCAGAAGACACCTACAAGACTTGGAGATGAAGTCAGAAGATCCACGAGGCAACGACAAGCCGTAGGGGCGCGCCCTAGGGGAGCGCCCCTGGCTTGTGGCCCCCTCGGGAGTCCCCTGACCTCCTACCTTGGCCTATAAATTCCCAAATATTTCCAAACCCTCATAAGCATCCACAAAATTTTTTTTCTGCCGCCGCAACCATCTGTTCCGTGAGATCCCATCTTGGGGCCTTTTCCAGTGATCTGCTAGAGGGGGATTCAATCACGGAGGGCATCTACATCAACCCTATTACCCTTCCGATGAAGCGTGAGTAGTTTAGCTCAGACCTACAGGTCCATATCTAGTAGCTAGATGGCTTCTTCTCTCTCTATGTTCTTCAATACCATGGTCTCCTTGATGTTCTTGGAGTCCTATCCGATGTAATCTTCTTCTGCGGTGTGTTTGCCGAGATCTGATGAATTGTGGATTTATGATCAGATTATCTATGAATATTTTTTGAATATCCTCTGAATTCTTATATGCATGATTTTATATCTTTGTATTTCTCTTCGAATTATCGGTTTGATTTGGCCAACTAGATTGGTAATTCTTGCAATGGGAGAGGTGCTTAGTTTTGGGTTTAATCTTGCGGTGTCTTCACGTAGTGACATAGTAGGGGTAGCGAGGCACGTATTGTATTGTTGCCATCAAGCATAAAAAGATGGGGTTTTCATCATATTGCTTGACTTTATCCCTCTACATCATGTCATCTTACTTAAGGCGTTACTCCGTTGTTTATGAATTTAATACTCTAGATGCATGCTGGATAGCGGTCGATGTGTGGAGTAATAGTAGTAGATGCAAGCAGGAGTCGGTCTACTTGACACGGATGTGATGCCTGTATGCATAATCATTGCATTGGATATCGTCATAACTTTGCGCTTTTCTATCAATTGCTCGACAGTAATTTGTTCACCCACCATATTATTTGCCTTCAAGAGAGAAGCCTCTAGTGAAACCTATGGTCCCGGGTCTATTTACCATCATATATTTTTAGATCTATAAACCAAAAATACCTTGCTGTAATTTATTTACTTTTATTTTGTTTTCCATTTTAGTAATCTTTTGTACCTATCTCTGTCAGATCTCAACTTTACAATTGACCGTGAAGGGATTGACAACCCCTTTATCGCGTTGGGTGCAAGTGTTTGATTGTTTGTGCAGGTACATAGATTGAAGACTTATTTGTACCTTCTACTGGATTGATACTTTGGTTTTCTAACTGAGGAAAATATTTATCTCTACTTTACTGCATCACTCTAACTGAGGAAAAAACCAACGCAAGCTCAAGAAGTAGCATGCTCCAAGTTCATTTTGCAGTTGTTCGTGAACCTCCTAAATGATGGGACGCGAAGACATTGTGGGAGGTAATGTCAGTTCATGTGATTATGCATAACATGATTATGGGTGATGAGGGTGAAAAGTTCACCATGATCTGGAATTCCAAAACATGAATGGCCCTATACAGCTTCCAGAGCACAATCCAACGACGTTCACGGATTTTCTTGAACTGTGTCGTCCTATTCACAATTCACAAATTCATGCACAACTTGAGGATGATTTGATTGAGCATCCATGGACATTTCATATGGACAATTAAAGCACACACTCGAATAAGTTAAATTAAATTTGAACTATTTTATTTGAAAACTTCACGTTCGAATGATTTGAATTTCTGTCACATTGAAATATTTATTATCTTTGAGTCATTGATGCACCGTGATATTTATCTTTCATTGTTTTTTTTGACGAAAAGATGGTCATAGGGCAATATTCCATTGATTAATCAAAAGGAGAAATACAAATTGCAGTAGAGCTACAATTAGGGAGATCGGCGTGTTTTGGAGCTGATTTCCAGCCGGCACGACCAGTATACAACAACATCTTTCATTGTTTTCAATATCCCTTTCCCAGCGATTCAGTTAGACAAGCATTTGAACAGGTAAAATCCCGTAGAAATCAAGTTAGCTCCGCTCAACGTTGCATGCATGCATATGTATGCTTCATTTTCAATTTTGTGTACCCGAGTCCTCGAACGTGGCTATGAATGCAGGCACTGTGGAAGCACGACGCAAATCTGCATCGCACACCCGACCAGCGCGCCTGCCCAGCCACGCTAAATAATTGATTACTGTTCCACAGTGCGCACAGCAGGAGCGGAATACTTAGCAAATACGCAAAACCGGCATACGAGCGAGGCATAATTGCTCCGACCCATGATGACCAGACCCAGAGGTGGTGGTTGTACAACATCCAAAGACATACTCATACCCGCGCCGTACGGCGGTGCGGGTGACCGGACCGGGCGGTACGCCCCGCCCCCGTCTCCGTCTCCGACACCGGTCACAGCTCACAGGCTCAGCAGCAGGCCTTTATCCCACCCTGACCGTCGACGTACACCCACCGACCGCGGGGTAAAGAAAGTGGCAGGCTAATCCGCTGTTCATTCTTAAACCCAACCCAGCCCCAGATCCTGATCCCACTCGCCCGCTGCCGTGTCCTTCGCTCGTGCTCTCCTCCTCTCCCCCACCCCACCACCACACAGTCCTCTTGCTCGCTTCGCCAGTTCGCTCGAGCTTCGCTTCACTCCACTCCACTCCCCAGTGGACTCCATTTCCCAACACCCCGTCCGCCTCAGAGCTCGCTTGTCCGCTTCGCAGCGGCCGAGGCGGCGCACATGGCGCTGCGCCCTCCGCTCCTCCTGCTCCTCCTCCTCCTTCTCCAGCTGCTCGGCGCGCGCGCGGCGCTGCACGAGCGGGACGCGGCGGCGCTGCGGGACGTGCGGGCCGGCCTGCGGGACCTGCCGGGGTCGCGCTTCTTCGAGTCCTGGGACGACGGCGCGTCCACCCCGTGCGCCTACGCCGGCGTCGTCTGCGCGCCCGACGAGGACGACCCGTCCGGCGCGCTCCTGCGCGTGTCCGTGCTCACGCTCGGCACCGGCCTCTCCGACTCCCCCGGCCTGGCCGGCAGCGTCCCGGCCTCGCTCGCCAGCCTCACCGCGCTCACCGACCTCGTCCTCTACCCGGGCCGCGTCGGCGGCTCCATCCCGGAGGACATCGGGTCGGGCCTCCGGCGCCTCAGGCTCCTCTCGCTGTCCGGGAACCAGCTCACCGGGCCCGTGCCCGAGTCCCTGGCGGGGCTGCCGGAACTGCACACGCTCGACCTCGGCAACAACCGCCTCGAGGGCGCCATTCCCTCCGGGCTGCTGCTGCCGACTTCGCCGAGCCTCAAGGTGCTCATCCTGGCCAACAATGTCGGCCTCTCCGGCCAGATTCCCGACCAGTTCCCCAGCTCGCAGCTGTTCCACGTCGACCTCAGCCGGAACGCGATAACCGGCGCGCTCCCGCCGCTGCCGCCGACGCTCCGCTACTTCTCCGTGGCCGGGAACTCGATGGAGGGGAGCCTCGACGGAACCTTCGCCGGCAACGGCCAGGGTCCGGCCGACCTGGCATTCCTCGACCTGTCGATGAACGACTTCTCGGGCTCGATCCCGCCGGAGGTGTTCGCGCTCCCGAGCGCGTCGTCGCTGCTCCTGTCCCGCAACAACTTCACGGGGCCGCTGGCTGTGCCGGCGGCGCCCGCGTCGGCGACGCCGCCGTGGTCGGTGGTGGACGTGAGCCACAACGGCCTCACGGGCGAGGTCCCGGAGGCGCTGGCGGCGGCGGGGAGCCTGTACGTGAACAACAACAAGATCTCCGGCGAGGTGCCGGAGGCGGTGGCCCGCAGCGTGTTCGACGGGCGCATGACGACCTTCTACGCGCAGCACAACTTCCTGACGGGGTTCCCGGTGCCGCCGACGCCGCTGCCGGACTCCGCGGCGCTGTGCCTGTCCTACAACTGCATGGACCTTCCCTCCGCCTCCGCGGCCGACGGGTGCCCCACGATCGGCGGGCCCCTGGAGTCCAGGCCAGCGGACCAGTGCCGGAGCAGCGGAGGCGACGGCTGAGCCTTCGCCGCGCGCCGACGCGCCGTGGACTGACAGGCGGGGCTCGGTCGTCCCGTCTCCGGCTCCCGCGAGGCACGGGCGGGTCACTCACTCACTCACCCACCGGGTTCACGCATTTTGGTTTGTCCGGTTGTTGGTTCGGGCCGTGGTTTTTCATGTGATTTTGGTTTGAATTTACTCGTCGTCGGTCGCGCAACGGTCACGCGGCGGGCGACGAGGTTGGGTTGGTGTTGGTGCGTGCGTGTGTGCTGTTACTCACTCGCCGGTTTGGGAGTGTACGTTGCGTCCAAAAGGAATCCGTGGCGGCCTCGGCAGGGCAGTAATGCCAATTTAAGCATTTCGGCCCATGCCCTGCCTACCGCAAGAGGACAACCTAGTGTTGTGTTGGCGTTGCTACTATGTATAGATAGCTGGCTGCCTTGCTGATTGCACTGGTCTTCTTTGTTTTTTTGAGTACCTGATTGCAGCTACGACTCCTTCTGAGACGTCGAGTCGAAATGTTGTATTTTCATAGGTTCGGTGTCATACAATCGTACTCCTATTTATTTGTTTTTTTGCGAATAATCGTGCTGCTGATTTTTAAAGTGCAACTGTCTACGGACGCGCCGATAAGTGTCACACGTGTGGGCGTTATCTGCCCACACATTTTGTGTGGTGTATAAAAGGAACAGTTCACACACCTACGTGGACAAAACAAGTAATGCCCACACATCTTTTTTTTCCTTCCGATCCCTCTCACACATGTGTATGGGCGAAATAGATAAGCCCACACGCCCTGTACATCAGGTCTCGTACCTCATGGTCCCCATGCCCCGCGTGATAGTCACCGCGCGTCTCACAGTTGCCATGGTCCAGACCCTCGTCCATATTCGTTTAACTGCAGTTGTCATGTCGCTGAACTTCGGTTGCCATGTCGATCAACTTCAGTTGCCATAGTTGCCCAACTGTAGTTGTCATGTATGGTCTGGTCTACTGCAGTTCTCATGATTTCAAAGGTTTAGAAGTTGCCACCTACTAACACTAGGCAGTTGCCATGTAGCACTGAAAAAGGCATGGTAAAAAAACATATTCGGGTAAAAGAGAGAGTTGCCATGTGCTCACAAGCACGCTAGGGCAGTTGCCATATAAAGAGAAAGAGTTGCCATCTGCTTACGTGCACGCTAGGGCAGTTGCCATATACCATGCAAAAACACCTGGCAATTCGGGTAAAAAAGAATTGTCATCTGCTTACAAGCAAAGTTAGGATAGTTGTCATGTACCCTGTAAAAACACATGGCAACTGCCAGCTTTGGGTGTGGGCGAGAAGATGGGCGTGTGGGCGAAGTGATAAACACCCACACACTATCCCCCTCTGCGTGCGTGAAAACTGGTGTGTGAACGAATTGCTAAACGCCCACACACCAGCTCCCGTGTGGTGAAAAAGGACGTGTGGACGATCGGATGAATGCCCACACACCAGCTTAGTCCTACGTGGCATATAAAAACTGCACATAAAAACTGCTAGAACATGCTAAGATTCGTGTAGAATTGATTGGACGAGAATCTATACGTGTGGACGAGTTATCAGACGCCCACACGTGTGGGCGTTAGGGTTTTCGTTGTCTATTGCTTTCTTTTGCTGGACAAATCATGGTACTATTATTTGTTTATATGCAGAGGCTACAGAGAAAGAACGTGGTAATCATTGCTCAAAATGACCCCTCTTGCATAAACGACCCTTCAAGATGACTGTGGTGCCTTCAAGCACTATGTTTAGGTCAGGGGCCACAGGAGATCTTTTACCGCCTGGCGTATTTAATTTTACAGGGACATGTAATAGAAACTGTTTGGTTGCACTATAGAAAAATGCAAAAGAAACCCTATAAGATTAGGTGTATAATACGTCACCGAAAGAAAAAGAAAAAACAATGGATTGGACTCAAGGTTTCTTCTTCTGCTGGGACTGCATACAAGGTCATACAGAAACTCATATCTCTACTCTTATAAAAGATTGAGTTGATGATGATGGTGTGCCTGTCATCGTATAATATAGTCCGTTTGATCTATATCTAACAAATAGAAAGTAAACTGTGACAATTTTGCAAAAGGATACCCGCACCTCTCCTCACACTTGCAAATAAGGACTTCCCTCATTCATCATTTTCTCTCACAAGATAAACTACTCATACAAATGCATCTTTATGTTCATGCAACGCATGGACATCTTGCTAGTAAGTTATAAAACCAGAAACCAAACATGATTTATAGGGAAAATGCTAAGGAATAAATTCTTCAAATCCCTATGAAATTCCTTTCAATGGAAGTGGCCCTTACATTCTGAACTTAGGAAACAAACCATATGAATCGATGAATTTAATCATCTTGCTGATCCTTGGCATCAGATTTTATAAAACAAGCCATATGAATTGGTGGATTATTATAATCTTACTGGACCCCTTATAATCTAGCCGCCGCCGCGGCGAACTCCCTCCTCCTCTTCCTTTGTCGTCGCTGGGCTAAGCCCGGGGGCCGACGATGGTGGCGGGGGATCTCCTCTCTCACGCGCCTTCAGGTTGGGGCGGGACCCCTAGGCATGTGGCGGCGCAGCCGATCTGGTTCTGCGGGGCGGCGGATGGCAGCGGCAGGTGGCGGGTAGCCGGCCCGTCCTCGGACGGCAACGGTTAGGCACGACGGGCGGCCCAACCACGGACGACGGCATGGGCTGCGGGCGCAGCGGCCGGCCTTTCGGGCGGAAGTAGTGTCGGCCAGCTAGGCTGCGGTGTCATGCATACCGCCTTCAGATCGGTGACGACGGCGTGGAGGGCCTGGTTGTCTCGTCGGCGGCACCTCCGGTCAGATCTGTTCTGACCGATGCGACCGGCGGTGGTGGTCATCTCTTCCGTCAGAGGTGGTCGGCCTGAGGCTGTGTGTTCGGATCTTCGGGTCCATGATCCAGTACTGGCTGCGAGTCGGGGAGACATAATTGTCGGTGAAGACAGAGCCGACGGTGGGCGATTGTGGCGTTCTACGCGTGTAACACCCCGGATGTAACTTTCCCTATTTGTACTCCAACTCTAGCCATTTCCGGCGTTAAGTTACTTTATTTTCTCGGGTTCGGGTTTTTGTCTCCGTGTGTGGTTGTCGTTGTCATGCATCTCATATCATGTCATCATGTGCATTGCATTTGCATACGTGTTCGTCTCATGCGTTCGAGCATTTTCCCCGTTGTCCGTTTTGCATTCCGGCGCTTCGTTCTCCTCCGGTGGTCATTTCTAGCTTTCTTTCGTGTGTGGGGATTAAACATTTCCGGATTGGACCGAGACTTGCCAAGCGGCCTTGGTTTACTATCGGTAGACCGCCTGTCAAGTTTCGTGCCATTTGGACTTCGTTTGATACTCCAACGGTTAACCGAGGGACCGAAAAGGCCTCGTGTGTGTTGCAGCCCAACACCCCTCCAATTTGGCCCAAAACCCACCAAACTCTGCTCCATCATCTAGAGTGTTCGATCACGATTGCGTGGCCGAAAACCACACCTCATTTGGACTCTCCTAGCTCCCTCTATGCCTATATATACACCCCCCATTCCAAATTCGCGGATCCTCTCCCCCCTAACCCTAAAAAATCCCAGACCCGCCGCTCCGAACGTGTCCGGGCGGAGCCGGACAATGTCCGCCGCCACCGCCCCTGTGACGCCCCCGATTCAATCGTACACTAATCATGCACGCAAATGTGTACGATCAAGATCAGGGACTCACGGGAAGATATCACAACACAACTCTACAAATAAAATAAGTCATACAAGCATCATAATACAAGCCAGGGGCCTCGAGGGCTCGAATACAAGTGCTCGATCATAGACGAGTCAACGGAAGCAACAATATCTGAGTACAGACATAAGTTAAACAAGTTGCCTTAAGAAGGCTAGCACAAACTGGGATACAGATCGAAAGAGGCGCAGGCTTCCTGCCTGGGATCCTCCTAACTACTCCAGGTCGTCGTCAGCGGGCAGCACGTAGTAGTAGGCACCTCCGGTGTAGTAGGGGTCGTCGTCGACGGTGGCGTCTGGCTCCTGGACTCCAGCATCTGGTTGCGACAACCAGGAAGAAGGAAAGGGAAAAAAAGGGGGGAGAAAGCAACCGTGAGTACTCATCCAAAGTACTCGCAAGCAAGGAACTACACTACATATGCATGGGTATATGTGTAAGGAGGCCATATCAGTGGACTGAACTGCAGAATGCCAGAATAAGAGGGGGATAGCTAGTCTTATCGAAGACTACGCTTCTGGTCACCTTCGTCTTGCAACAGGTATAAAAGAGTAGATTGGAGTCCTCCAAGTAGCATCTCCAAGTAGCATCTCATAGCATAATCCTACCCGGCGATCCCCTCCTCATATCCCTGAGGTAGAGCGACCACCGGTTGTATCTGGCACTTGGAAGGGTGTGTTTTATTAAGTATCCGGTTCTAGTTGTCATAAGGTCAAGGTACAACTCCAAGTCGTCCTGTTACCGAAGATCACGGTTATTCGAATAGATTAAACTTCCCTGCAGGGGTGCACCACATAGCCCAACACGCTCGATCCCATTTGGCCGGACACACTTTCCTGGGTCATGCCCGGCCTCGGAAGATCAACACGTCGCAGCCCCACCTAGGCAAAACAGAGAGGCCAGCACGCCGGTCTAAACCTAAGCGCGCAGGGGTCTGGGCCCATCGCCCTGAGCACACCTGCACGTTGCGTGGGCGGCCGAAAGCAGACCTAGCCTAGTGGCGTTCCAGTCCAATTCGGCGCGCGCCGCTCCGTC